TGAGTGAGTGAGTGAGTGAGTGAGTGAGTGAGTGAGTGAGTGAATGAGTGAGTGAATGAATGAGTAAGGGAGTGAGTGAGTGAGTGAGTGATTGAGTGAATGAATGAGTGAATGAATGAGTAAGTGAGTGAGTGAGTGAGTGAGCGAGCGAGCGAATGAATGAGTGAGTGAGTGAGTGAGTGAATGAATGAGTAAGTGAGTGAGTGAATGAATGAATGAGTGAGTGAGTGAGTGAGTGAGAATTAATGGGTGAAGCTGTTGGGAAGAGGCAGCAGGGCCACACAGCTGCTCGGAGCCCTTCCAATCTTTTCACCTCTGCCAGGGAGTTACCCCACCTGGGCTGCCCCTCGAAGAGGGACTCTCTTATGGAGGTGAGGGTCTCACTGTTTGCAGGGGCCTGGGAGTCTGCCAGGGCCGGAACAAGCCCCCACTGGCCCAGGCTTGTAAAACCTCACAGCTGTCTTGGCCTGGGCGTCTGTCCCAGGGCCAGGCCTGCTGTCACCATACAGGGGGAGGGCGAGGGTGCACAAACCACCCAGGACTGGAGTTTCCCTGCCTGGGCCTATGACCTCAAAGTCCGAGTTGGGGGTCCTGTGACAGGCTGCAGGGTGGGGGTGCAGGAGAGCCACAGGTGGGCAGCAGGACCCCTCTCTAGTCCCTTCCCTGCTGGGATCAGTCGCAGGCCCACTCCCGAAAGGATGGGTGAGGGGGGCACACCTCAGGGAGGTCCAGAGGGGTCACCGCTCTGAACTGGACATAGCCCTTTGAGGTGGTCTGGGTGGTTAGGCCCTGAGGCTGGCCTGCCTGGGTTCCACCCCAGCCTGACCCTTCCCCAGCTGTGTGGTCCAGGATAAGTCTCCTCCCTGCCCTGACCCCACCCCCTGAGTCTGTGTGTGACGTGGGGGCTTCACCATGCATGTTAGGATTGCATGCAGCTTTGAAAAATACTGACTCGGGGTCTCCCCGACCCCGACCAGAAGAATCTCTGGGTGTAGCTTGGCATTTGTCACACGTCCTAAGGAGAGGGGCCTCGGGACCTCTATCCCCCTGACCACCCCCTACCCAGTGCCAGGACCATGTGTGTGGGGAACACAGGAATCCCCCGTGTAACTGAACATCCACAGAGAGGCTCTCTCATTAGCCCATTCTGTTAGGTAAGTGGTTCTCAATCTTCCTAATGCCGTCACCCTTTAATGAAGTTCCTCATGTTGTGGTGACCCCGTAGGTGGGCGTATCTGCATGTGGGGCGGACCTGCCTGGAGACGGATAGAGGAGCGGTGTCTTGGTTCCTAAGACCATCGGAAATATAGTCTTAGGTGACCCCCGTGAATGGGTCGTTCGACCCCCAGGTTGAGGACCACTGTGTTAGGTGCTGTCCACTCGCAGTGGTCCCAGGTGACAGACCAGAACTGTCCCACGGGGTCTCCTCCGCTGTCCTCTTGACAGGGGCAGATCACCAAGACTTTCTGTCACTGGGCTCAAACGGCCAACCTTTAGGCTGCTCCAGATGAGGAAACGGAGGAGGTGGTCTTGTAGCAGGCCACAGCTAGGATTTGAACCTAGGGGCCTTATGATGAACCACTTGTTTTTTTTAAATCACTTTATTGGGAGCTT